ATGTTTCCAAGTCCTATGAGGGAATTTATGGTTGTACCCTGAACCTCTTTTGAATCATCTGTAGGACTTGACTTAGAGGTAACTCTCTTTGAATGCAGGTGGATTTTCGGAAAGGAATTATGAGTGGAGCTCTGAGGAGGACGAGTCTGATGGGAAAGCCCGCCCGGTGCAGGTGCTAATCGTGAAAGATGACCATTCATTTGAACTTGATGAAGCCGCCCTCAACCGCATCCTGCTCTCCGAAGCCGTCCGAGATAAGGAGGTGGTCGCTGTCTCTGTGGCCGGAGCTTTCCGGAAAGGGAAGTCCTTCCTGATGGACTTCATGCTGAGATACATGTACAACATGGTAGGATGATTATCTGTTGCTCTTTGTGCAGGTTTTAAATGCGTGATGATGAAGATGGTGGTGGTGGTGATGATGATCATGATGATGATTTTATTTATTTATGTCCCCCTTTTTCCAATAATGGGACTCCAGGGAGTTCACAAATTATGAAATCCAATACAGATTAAAAACCATACAGAAACATCATATGTTCTATGTCATATTGTTGTTTGGTGTGTCTTCCAAGCCATTTCTGAATCATGACAACCCTTAGGCAACCCTATTACATGGTGTTCCCCTGAGGCTGAGAGAGTGGGACTTGCCCAGGATTACCCAATGGGTTTCCATGGCCAAGCCAGGATTCGAACTCTGGTCTCCAGAGGCGTAGCCAAATGCTTAAACCACTACACCATGCTATATGATGTTATATATTATTTAATAACAATTAACCAATCTGTAGACTTAAAACCATTTAAAATTAATTAAAAGAAAATACAAAATTCAGCTAGCATGGTGTAATGATTTGAGTGTCAGACTAGGTTTCTGGAAGATCAGGGTTCGAATCCCTGCTGGACCATGGAAACCCACAAGTGTGAAAGGGCCTTCAGAGTCAGCACTTAGAAGTAAGGAATTACAAAGAGTAATTAGCTCCTGCAAGTTACTCTTTTTAGTAATGAGGGTGTAACAATGTTACATTTGAAAATTAACAACATGAGTGGAAACAAAGTTGTATTATTGGTATAAGAGGCAAGGTTTTGTAGTTACAAGTTGGGTCTCCCTTATCTGAAATACTTGAAAACAGAATTGGGATTTCAGATTTTGGAATATTTGCATATACATCATGAGATATCTTGGAGATGGAACCCAGGTCTAAATATGAAATTCATTTATGTTTCCTATACACTTTACACACTTAGGCTGAAGGTAATTTTGTACACAATATTTTTAATAATTTTGTGTATGCAACAAAATTCATGTACGTTGAACCATCAGAAAGCCAAGGTGTCACTATCTCAGCCACCCATGTAGACAAATTTTGGATTTTGGAGCATTTTGGATTTCATAATTCCAGAAAAGGGAGACACAACGTGTACTTTACTTTTATGGGAATTTTCAGAGTCATTTTGATCAGGAATTTTTCAAGTTTTATGCCATTCCCTTGTCAATCTTGAGGGTTTTTTTTTAAAAAAGCAATGAAAAGTAACCAACAGTGCAAATGAATCATTGCTTAAACATTGCAATGAGTAACAAGGACAAATTGTTTCTACAACAGTCTAGCGAGAAATGGGAAAGAATTGCTTCTCAAGTGCTTTAGTAAGGCATGGGAGCACATTAATTCTAAAACTGTAGTGTATAATAGGAATGAATTAGTTCCTAAAAGTAATATTGCGAGCTTTACCCAGAACCCATTAGGGAGGCTTTTTCACATTACACAGTTCTAGGACTCTGAATCCACTTTAACTGCCATGGCTGCATCTTTTGCAATCCTGTATGCAAAGAGATCTTGTAGCATCTTTGGGACTAAGATGCTGGAAGTATGAGGTTTCTTAGGCTTGAGTCTACTTCCTCAGATGCATGCAGTGGAGTGGAGAGTCCAGAGACAGATCTATATAAGTCAGTTGTGTGTGAGAATGTCAATTGAAATCCAAAACCTTGTGGGCATGGAGATGAGGTGGCAAGTTCAGTTTTAAAA